ATTGGCATATGAGAGATCTATCCATGGTCACAGATCACAGATTCAGGAAAGTGTGAATCTTCCTCCTCCAGCAGGTATCAACTGACAATAGTGCCTCAGTAAGATGGAGCCTGCAGAAAACCTATATCATCCAAGTAATTTTGGTTGGACTGATCTAGGGCAGGTAACCATGGTTGCTTTGAATTCCTAAATTCTATAGCTTCTTTAATTCCATGAGTTTTGTTTTCATAGCACTCCTTTCTGTCATCCAGCTTATATATTCTTTGTGATTCCTAGTCAACTATGTTCCATGTTCCTTTGCTTAGGGGTGGGAAGAGGTTGAGAAATAATTTCCATTTAGGGCTGAGAAAGCAATTTCATGTTATCCGCACTATTATCACTAATTCCTTGGAATATTTGTTAAAGCCCACTGGAAAAAAACAAAACAAAAAAAAAAACAACAAACAATAAAAAATCAAACAAACAAAAACATTTCTCCAACTAAGATCAAGAGAAGCCCAGGTCCTGTGGATATAAGCAAATGTTCGGTATTTGATCTTGTTAACACTGAGCAAAATAATAGTAACAGATTCTAGCCAAGGGCCTATGACTTCTCAAATCATAGGCTTTCAGTGTGGTGCATGAAGTTCCCTACCCTGGAACAGGTCTTGACTAAAAGCAGAAAGCAATTAGTTACCTCACTACTGTGCTGGTGGGCACCTCTTGCTTGGCAGGTTATTGTTGTAGCATAAAGGGTCCAGCACTATGTAACATCATTAATGTTTTGCACATTATTAATGTTTTGCACTAACCATCATTAGTGGTTTGCACAGCACCTTCAGGCACTATGAAAGTTTTTTAGTGAGTGAGAGGTAAGTTTCTTGGTCTATTTTAGGTTGATTTGCTTATGTCCTGTAGCCAAAGTTTACGACATCTTCAACAATGGGGTCTTGTCATGTAGGTATGTTGAATAACCCATGTTGTTTTGAGGCTTCTGGGGAACTCCCTGACCAATAACTCCCAGGGATGTATCCATGACTTGTACTGAGACGTTTATTAAATATAACCCTTGTATTATAATCATCATAAACCATGAATTGTAGTTATTCCATTCCATATCTTATTTTTGCACTATATTTTGAAAATAGCTTGATAAATATTGGGTTTCCAAAAAACATCATCATATAATCTTAGTTTTGGTTAATACACTAAATTCTTTACCACACCCCATCTCTCTTAGTCATTATATGTTTCCTCCTTCTGTTAATCATATATATTATACTATCACTCCAAATGTGGTCTGCTTTAATTTATAGGCACAGTTAAATAACATTCTGAATAAAACTTTGGCAGTACAGGAAATAAGACCAGCCATCAACAAATAGGATCTCATTGAGTTCAAAAGCTTCTTCACACCAAACATAACTAAGAAAATAATGACTAAGAAGCGCGCGTGCACACACACACACACACACACACACACACACAACACTTTGGAGGTATAAAGTGAAATATCAATACGGAGTCGGGTATAGATATAAGGATATTTATTTAGGAGAACCCTACTTACTCAGAACAGCCTAGCCAGCCAGCAGGACGTAAGTAGAAAATGGGGGTTCACATGTGTGTCCCTCACTCTTAAACCTTCCTCACTTCACCCTGACCACCCCCAATTGGTCATGGCCAGGCACATATGTAACCAGCCCCTAGGCAGGCATGGTTAGGGTGTCCCCTACAATTCCCCTTTTAGTCTAAAGAGGATTAAAACTTAACAGTGTTAAATATCCATAATTAAAAATCACGAGGATAAAATACAGGAAGATATAATAATCTGCTTATGCCACATCCTAACTATGTCTATTCTATTTCAACTAAACCTTAAAGTCATGTGAAAGTGGTATCCAAGCCTGAACACCTCCTTTCTATACCAACCATAAACAATAGGAAACTAGCCCTAACTACGTGTACAGCACCAGATCTCATAACATATGGTTGTGAGCCACCATGTGTTTGCTGGGAATTGAACTCAGGACCCCTGGAAGAACAGCCATTGCTCTTAACCTATGAACCATCTCACCATTCCTGGTAACCAGCCCCCAGGCAGGAAGGTGTCCCCTACAAAGGTGGATCTCTTCCAGCCACTTATCTGACAGAAGATTGAGGTCTAGATTACCTTTATCTTTGAGGCAGGATCTCTTCAGTTAGCCTGAAGCTCTAGATTCATTGAACTTCAGGGAGTTGTCTATCTTTGGCTCCACTCATGTATGCAATCATGTTCTGATATGCCTGGCTTTTTACAAGTGTTCTGCAGATACAAACATAAGTTATTGTTTTTGTGCATTAGAAGACTGACTCTCTGAGCCCTGTTTTCACTTCAGGA